GGTTGATGGACACGCAGGTGACGGCGGTGCTGGCGCGGCCGGACAAGACGTCCAAGGTGCGGCGGTTCTGGAACTGGTACCACCACAACATCGGGCGCGTGGCCATCCTGCTCGCCATGGCCAACGTCTTCCTCGGCCTCACCATCGCCAGGGAGGTGAGCGCCTACATCGTCTCCTACGGCGTCTTCGTCGCCGTCTGGATCATGGCCGTCGCCGCCTTCGAGTTCAAGCGCTACTACGAGGACGACGACTGATGACCCATCTATCATCACCCTACATCCTACATGGAGGCGGCGATTCGCATAGAGAGAATTCATTTGGAGCGGCTACTACCGAACGGCGTTGTTTGTGGTAGCTCACCTCGCAGCGTGGGCGGATGGCGAATTTGAGGATTCTGTTGAAAAATATATTCTTTTGCGGTATAGGATACGGGACAGGAGTGATTATGTCGCTGAGCCTAATTAGCCGGATGCTCTGATTCATATTTGTACATTGGTACATGGTGTTGTTATTCTTGTACCCTCCCCGCCTTTTGGTTGCTTGGTAGATTGCTCGAGTTTTCTTCCTCCTTTTACATGTATGTACATCGATCGATTTTATTCTATTCCATGATGGATTCACGACACCGGAGCTGCCCTTTGGTCGAGTGACATGCCTTCATCTTCACGCCTGAGCTTTTCCCCACTGAGAGAGCAATGAAAACATGTACCGGAAGGCTGCAAATGTTGGTCAGCAATCATTCCATCTTGCTGAAAGAGATATACTCCATTTGCAGGACATTAACTCAGCAGCAAAATTTAGGCTATGCGTTCCAAGGAAACAAAAAAAAAGGTGCACCCAGAATAGAAAATTTTCTTTCCACCAAGCATTTTATTTGCTCTGGCTGGCACAGACGCCAAGCCGCCATGGTTCAGCTTCAACTATCAGTCTCTCACGATATTCGACAAAGGTTTCGGGCACCAACTTAACTTTTTATGGTTAATTCCAGATGGAACACTCCGCCTGGTAAGAAGTACTCACACTCTGCTTTCATCAGTTCTGCAACAAGCTTGCGACTGAATGGGGTCGACATTCTAGAGGACTGCTGCAGACATCTAGGCACCTACCTACACACTGCACTAGCCTATGCATGAGCCGCTCGACTCGACTCAGGCACGAGTACAACGCAAATCTATTATTACTGGCAACTGACATGTACCCTACCTGCGCCGCTTCTCACGGCTCGCTCCTTGCGCGGCCATCGAAAGGGGACGGGCCCGCATTCTGCACATGGGCTGTCATGGCAATTCCCTTCATCTTGAGGTCTCCCGGAAATGGCAGTGCTTCCGGACGCAGCTGCGACTGCTGCTGCTGCCGGACACTGCCAAGGCGTTGCTGCTGCAGGTGCATCTGGGGCTGCTGGTGCTGAGAGTGGATCTGGAGCTGCTGAAGGTGCTGAGCGGCCAGAAGAGATTGTTGTTGCATCTGGCTTCGCTGGTAGCTCTGTGGATTGACTCCGTACGAGGACAGACCGCCGAAATTCCCCAGGCTTCCATTGTTGGCGTTCAGCTGTCCAGTTGCAATCTTCAGCTGCTGAACCTCGTCCCTCAGTCTGTCGTTCAGTGCTGCATGTAACCAAAGAAACAGTTACCAAAGATGGTAGGGAACATTGGAACAAAGTTAACATAGCCAAAAATGAAACATAAGTAAACTCTGGCGTGTAGATTGAATAGGAAAAGACCGAAAATGGCTGTTCAGTCTCTAGATGATCAAGAAAAATCAGGACTCAAAATCCAAGCGAATACTCCATCCGTTCCAAAATAGATGACTCAACTTTGTACTAACTTTAGTATAAAGTTAGTACAAAGTTGAGTCATCTATTTTGGAATGGAGGGATGTGTTGAGAGCAAGTAGACATGTAGAATTCAGAACATCGAGTTATTTGCAGTTATGGAAGAACATGGTGTCAAATGAGCATGGCATCAACAAAATATCTTTGTATTAATTTCGAATTTGCTGTACAAAGAAAACCTTACCATCTTGCAGCCTGACCTGCTGCTCCATTGTTTGCACTTGCAGCTTCAAATCACCATTTTCATTTGTTAAACCACTGGTATCTCTCTGTATCATACAGACAAATAGGGATAGACTCATTACTCATGGAAATCAAAGAGCAAGTACTGTGAGTAACTACAAATTCTGCAGTCCATTGACAATATGTATCTGTAGGATACAAGACCTGACACTCAAGGAAAACCAAAGAGGAAGTACTTCGAATAACTACAAAATCTGCAGTATATTAACAATACGTATCTGTAGAAGACAAAACTCGTCACTCATGGAAAATCTAAGGGGGAGTTCTTTGAAAAACTACAAAATCTGCAGTGTAGTAACAATATGCATCTGTAGACTACAGAACTCATCACTCATGGAAAACCAAAAAGAGTTAGCTCTTTGAGTAACTACGAAATCTGCAGTATATTAACAATATGTATCTGTAGAATTCAAATAGTGAGTTCTTGGTGGCCTTTGTTGCTTTTTACCTTTTTATCACTTTTTTTAAACAAGGACTTACTGAAAATATATATTAATAATATGTATCTGTAGAATACAAAACCCATCACTCATGGAAAACCGAAGAGGGAGTTCTTTGAACAACTAGAAAATCTACAGAATATTAATAATACATATCGGCAGAATACAGATAGTATGAGTCTCAAGCTGTTGGCGCTTATTGCTTTTTTCTCTTTTTTTAAACAAAGACTTGTTCAACAACGTAATAATGGGCTGTGTGCACTTCCAGGTGCAGAGATAGGAGAATATTCTTCCATTATCTAAAAAAATTACATGGCTATGTTCATCAATCGATGCAGAGGCCAGGGGTATAACCTCCTTTTCGATAATTATTTACAGCTGGTAATAATATGTTAAGACATAAACAATTTGCAGAACTAAAATAAATAATGACTGCTCAAACAAACAGATTCAGAAATACAAGTTGGTGATATAGGGGCTGCAGCTGCACCATATCCAACAACTTCACTAGTTAGACGTCCATATGGCGTGCCAGGGGATTTGGTACTTTTTGAGAATGGCCTGCGTCAAGGTGATCCTGTCTCTCCCTATTTGTTGATTCTAGTCGCGATGTGCTTTCATGGCCTCCCCAGCGGCCCAACCAAGCTCCATCTCTCTACTTTCACTCCACTGATCTCTAACGCGGAATGCTACCTCGCTAGCAGGAGCAGTCTCCTTTCCTTTGGTCATCGTCAAGACTGTACTGATGGCCATTGCTGATCTTAATATTTGGAACACAGATTCAAGATGGATAAGCGCGCGTGGCCACGTTACCGCTGAAGGGCTCATATTCTCTTACACCCCCTACCTTGTAATTTCCGTTTTCTACTTCTCACCTTCGCTCAGAACCTTGTGTATGATATATTGATAATGCCTGTCATTTTCGGGTTTATTTAACAAGTTGTTGGAGTTAACATGCCAAAAAACCCACAAATTTAGTAACCATACGCAGACATAAAAGGTATTCCATAAAATTGGCAAAACATTCAATAACTGAACAAACAAACAGTGTCAGCGGTTGGAAATTCTAATTAAATGCTAAAAATAGCATAGGCAGTTAGGCACGCGTTCATTTGAATACCTAAGCATTTTCTATTTCTGGCGACCATTCCTGAGATTTAGTAGCAATTTTCAGCCAAACCCAGGTTTAAACCATCTAACACATATCAATGTGCAAGAACTTAAATTAAGGTAAAGCCCAATAACTAACCTGTAACAGGGACAACTGAGCTGATAGTGTAGTTGCTTCTGTTTGAAGACACTGTACTTTCCTCTCAAGCTCAGCAATGTAGCGCATCTTTCTTTCTTTTGACCTAGCAGCTGACTGGCGATTTGCCATGATCCTAAAATGTTTCAACAAGGTAGATATTAAGAAAAATCAATCTAAGAAATAAACACTAACCCCTAAAGGCACACACAATGAATAACACCAAATAATTGGAACAAATAACTGGAGTCAAATCAAATCACATGACAAAGACACATCCAGATTGTTCTAGCAAAGAAACACACTGAGAAGTTACTCCCATAATATTAACAGACTAACTAACTTGCATAGACTGCAATGCTTGTACTAAATTACCATTGGTGAAAAAGGCTATACTAAATTACAATGGTGAAACTCTGTGCTCTGATGTGACCTCCCTCCAACAAAAGGTAATGCAATAAAATCAGATATAAGATTTCCACTGACAATTAATCACACATAACATATATTCACATATAGCGATAGTTGATTAAAAAAAGAACAAATTATAAGGGTTATGTCGTTTTTATTGCCTGAAAATACTGTACTGACATACATCACCAATTCACCAGCATATTTTAAAATGCGTATCACACCAAAGAAGATTAATATATGTTTAGTAGTAAGCTATATACTGGAACTATAGACGGTCTCGTTATCGTCAAAATTGTACATAGACAGTCCCCAGTCCCATGTTTTGTTTCAATCAATCAGGCCAAAAAAAGAGCAGCAAGATCACATATGATTACTGACTGTTCTGGAAAAACATACTAGATTCGAGATTCCACAACTTTCGCCCCTTTCACACTTTGTACCTGGGACTGGACTCCTTTTCAAAGAAGCAGAATCCATGTAACCTGTCCCTGTCAACCGCCGCAATTCGATATCCAATATTGCGCGAATCCCTAAAGACCAAAAATAGCAACGAAGCAACGGAAGTGGGTTCTCAGACTGAGACTGGCGTCTCACCTCTTGGCGCGCTTGGGGTCAACGAGAGCGAGCTCGGCGAGCTTGGCGTCGGAGATGGCCTTCTTGGCGTCCGCGCCGTGCCTCCCCGACACCCCGGAGGAGGCGGACCCGAACGACGTGGAGCCGTCCATCGACATGCTGTGCTGGTGCCGCGGCCGCGCGGGCGGCGGCGGCTGCGGGTACGGCGACGGGTCCAGCGGCTCGGACAGCCTGCCGCCGGCCTGGAGGAACATCTCGAACATCCGGCTGCCCCCGCTTCCGCCGCCGCCGACTTCCTCGTCCTCCTCGTACTCGTCCTCGTCATCTTCGTCGCCGCCGCCGCCGCTACCCCCGCCCTCCCCGACGACTCCGAGGTCGGCGTCGAAGGTGAGGTCATCCGGGAGGGCGGAGGCCCCGAGGAGGATCTCCGACTGCGCGCGGCGGTGCCCCGCCGGGCGGCGCGGCGCGGCCTCAGCGGCGGCGTCCGACGCCGATCCCGCGGCGGAGGCGGAGGTGGAGGCGGGCGGGGCGTCCATGGCGGGGTTGGGGAGGAGAGATCTGCGGCGGGGGAGGGGAGGGGAATGCGGGTGCCTGCGCCGGCGGGGGGAGGGAAGGGGAGCAGAGGGGGCGGAAGCTTAGGAGGGGCAGGAGGAAGACATGCTCGGGCGGAGGTTTGACCAGGGCATTGACTCTGCAGGGAAAGAAAGGAAGGAGGAGGCGACGGGGTGGGGCACCAGCGCCCAATGCGGCGGCGTGCCGCATGCCCGGTTCGGCTCGGCCGCTGCGCCGTCCGTCCGTGGCCTGGGCCTCGTGGGCTTTCGCACTCCGCCTCCGATGGTTCTAGACCGACCGAGCCTCGGTCACATGCGTCGCGGCTCGCACCGTGCGGCGGCAGCAAATTCGTCGGGTGCTGGGGAACGGACGGCTTTGGCTGAGCCGCCACCACCCACCTCTCCACGCAAGAACTTTTGTATTGGTGCTCAGTATATTCATCAAACGTATCTTATACAGGGCGAGTATTTGATACACTGTAATCTACTACTAGTCCTGCTTTAGCTAAGTACTCCTCGTTACAGAATGGTTTAACAATATAAGCTTGATTCATTAGTTGATGAGTGATGTACAACCTTTAATAAAATGTGTTGGATTGTGTAAAGATACGATTTTATCATTTCTCCTCGTTTACTCCGTCACATAGAAAAAAAAAGAAATAGAAAACTAAGCTAGAGCACTAACGGTATGTTTATTTCAGTTTTTATTGGCTTCGAATCATCTGTGGATTTGCTTCACTGGCAAAGTTGTTTCGCAAAATCAGCTTTATCACTAAGGTACACTTGAACATGCTTCAGCCAATTGAAACGAAAATGGCTTGAATGCAGATTGAACTTCGGCGGCTAAGCTGATTTCAAATAGGTGTCTATTCCACCTTTTGATTTTCTTTTTCGGGGTCGACGGTGCAGCATGTCATGACACCATTTGGCTTTGGTTATGAGTGTACGAGAAGAAGCAGAATGCAGGCCAAATATACAACGGCGGTTTAGGTACGAGGAGATGTGGACAAGGCATGAAGATTATGAGGGTATGGTGAAAGAGTTGTGGGAGGCGGATGGCCATAAGGCTAGCGACATGAGAGACATGTTGCAGAAATTGGGACGGGTGTCAGGCAGCATGCATAAGTGGGGAAAGGAAGTGTTTGGCTCAGTACGCATGCAAATAAAACATCTGAAAGCCCACATGCAAAGAATTAAAGAACAGGAGCTAGCTATTGCATGAACTATATCTACGTGAAGAGATAATGCAAAGGCAACGGTCTAGGGTAGACTGGCTGGTAGCGGGCGACCAAAATACCAAATACTTTCAGAACCGTGCCTTTCACCGGTGAAGGAAAAACACGGTCAAATATCTACTCCGCCCAAATGGATCCAGATGTTCTGATGATGAAGGTATGCGGGCGCTGGCAAGGGACTTCTACTCGGAGCTGTTTTCCTCTCAGGGTGTAGCTAACATGGACAGAATTCTGGACAATATACCTGTGAGTGTATCTGATGACATGAACAGCAAGCTTGGGGCCCCCATCTCGAATGAGGAGATTGAGAGAGCACTATTCCAGATGGGGCCAACTAAAGCTCCAGGGCCGGATGGACTACCGGCACTCTTTTATCAACGACACTGGTCTTTGATAAAGGAGGAGGTTTGTAAAGCAGTGAAAGATTTTTTGAGTGGAGGAGAGATTCCGGAAGGTTTCAATGATACTATCCTAGTCTTGATCCCAAAGACAAAATCACCGGACTCTCTTTCTCAATTCAGACCAATTAGTCTGTGCAACGTTTTGTACAAAATTGCAGCAAAGGTACTCGCTAACAGATTGAAGAAGAGTTTACCAATTATGATCTCTGAGGAGCAAAGCGTGTTTGTGCCAGGGAGGCTGATTACGGACAATGTTCTCGTGGCTTACGAATGCGTGCATGCAATAAGAAAAAGGAAGAGGAAGAAACCGTTGTGCGCAGTAAAATTAGATATGATGAAAGCTTACGATCGAGTTGAGTGGCCCTTCCTTGAAAAGATGATGCTCAAATTTGGTTTTTCTCAAGCCTAGACAGCCATGGTGATGAGATATGTAACATCGGCAAGGTTTGTGGTCAAGCTCAATGGAGACCTGTCCCAAGGTTTTCTACCATCTCGGGGGTTAAGGCAGGGGGACCCACTATCTCCGTACTTATTCCTGTTTTGCGTGGAGGGTTTTTCTGCATTACTCAAGAAAGCTCAACATGAGAAGGATCTAAAGGGGGTGTCTTTTGGGCGCACTGCCCCCACTATTACACACCTATTATTTGCTGATGATAGCATTGTCTTCCTGGAAGCTTCAGTGGATAACTTATCTTGCTTGAGAAACATTTTGCAGGTTCATGAGAATGCATCGGGTCAGAAGGTTAATCTCCAAAAATCGTCCATATTTTTTGGCAAAGGATGCAGTGAGGAGGATAAGCTCAATCCTAAAAATGTGTTGGGAGTTCAGTCGGAGGCTCTCAATGAGAAATACTTAGGTCTCCCCACCACGGTTGGACGGTCTAAGGATGGATGCTTCAAACATGTCAGAGAGGCAGCGAGGGGGAAAGTGTCTGGGTGGAAAGGACAGGGCTTGTCGAAGGCAGCAAGGGAAGTGCTTGTTAAGTCGGGGTTGCAGTCAACGCCGACTTACTATATGAGTGTTTTCCAACTCTCCAAGAAGATGTGCCGGAAACTGAAACTATCTCTTCGAAATTCTGGTGGGGAGCGGCCAACGACGAGCAAAAAATCCATTGGGTTGCATGGAACAAAATGTGCACTCGCAAAAGAGAAGGAGGAATGGGGTATAGATATTTTGAGTTGTTCAACCAAGCGCTCCTAGCAAAGCAAGTGTGGCGAATCCTCACGGTGCCCGGATCTCTATGCGCGAGGGTGCTGAAGGCATGGTATTTTCAAGACATGGATATCATGTCAGCCACATGCCCGAAAGGAGCCTCATATACGTGGCGAAGCTTGATTCATGGCAGGGATCTGTTAATGCATGGACTAGTCTGGAGAGTAGGAGATGGCACTAAAATTAATGTGTATCATGACAACTGGATTCCCCGCAGCGGCAGCTTAGCACCACTGGGTGCTGAGTTTGATCCCCAAGCGACTAAGGTAGCGTACCTATTAAACGAGCAGGGCTCGGGATGGGATAAAGGAAGATTGACAGGATTTTCTCGAACACGGACGCGGCAGATATCAAGCAAATTGTCATTGGAGGGATCGGTACAGAAGATTACAGGGCATGGAACTTCACTAAATCGGGCATGTTCACTGTCAGGTCGGCGTACCATCTCGGAGTCTCAATCCAGAGAGCAAAGCGGGTAATGGCGTCAAGCTCTAACCAGGTAGCAGATTGATAACCCACAAGTATAGGGGATCGCAACAATTTTCGAGGGTAGAGTATTCAACCCAAATTTATTGATTCGACACAAGGGGAGCCAAAGAATATTCTCAAGTATTAGCAGTTGAGTTGTCAATTCAACCACACCTGGATAACGTAATATCTGCAGCAAAGTGTTTAGTAGCAAAGTAATATGATAGTAGTGGTAATGGTAGCAAAAGGTAACAATAGCAAAAGTAATATTTTTGGTATTTTGTAGTGGTGATAACAATAGCAACGGAAAAGTGAAAATGCGAAGAACAATATATGGAAAGCTCGTAGGCAATGGATCGCTGATAGAGAATTATGCCGGATGCGGTTCATCAGGTAACAGTCATAACCTAGGGTGACACGGAACTAGCTCCAGTTCATCAATTTAATGTAGGCATGTATTCCGAATATAGTCATGCGTGCTTATGGAAAAGAACTTGCATGGCATCTTTTGTC